TAGAACAGATATGTAGCTATTGTTATTCAACAGCACATATTTGGATATGGTGGACCTCAAGACAGGGTTTGGGTGTAAATCACTGGAGAACTATGACAAACCGCTGTCTGAATGAGAACTGGCTCTCGCTCTGGTAGTCTGCATTGAAGAGCATCACAGCACTTGAGTAGGGCATGGCTCGGCTGGCACATCCAATGTGCTCTCGCGTCCGCAGTGGGATGGCACACTTCCAGCGCACTGCTCCTCAGCAGCAAGCGGAACCCCCTGAGCATGGATCTGCTGCATACGTTGCCTGCAATGAAAGTGTCGATGAATTCAGTCAGTCAAAACCCTTTTCCATTAGTCATTCTTTCAGTACAAGATTTGTATCTTGTAAACACCATCGTTTGCGTAGTACATCAGGGTTCGGTCACTGGATGGTGCTATTTCTAAATAAAATATTATTTCTTAACATTTTTAAAATGTAACAATATTAAGAAAAAGCATAATTTGCTGAAGTTATACAGTGACAAATTCAATGTTATATATATATATTTAATTTTTTGCATTTTCGGTCTTTAATTTTCAATCTATCATCAGTTTATTAGTAATAGTTGTGTTTGTCAATTTTATTAGTTTTGTTGATCCTGCCTGTTAAGCTTTGTTTATTATAGCTTCATTTTATTTCGTTTTTAATACATCAAGATACACTCCATTTTTATTTTATTTTTTTTTTAAGTCAACTATAAAAACTCTGAATCAATTAAAGTTATACTGAATTAAGGGTGTCAATCCTGTTCCTTCGGAGTTTGACATCAGTAAGCCTTCGGCTTATTTTAGTATGGTGTTCGGTCTACTTTGACAATAACAAACATTAAAAAGAACGGTTAACAATGCTAAAGTAATGAAAATGGGTTCCCACATCCTACTTACCAGGCTGTGCGGGACATGATGTAATGAATATCGGGTTTCTGGAAGCCATTGAAGGTGGAAGACGCGGCTACAGTGTAGGCACCCATGTTCTCAAACAGCAGCCAGTCACCCATCTGCATGTCAGGCAGGCTGCACTGCTCCACAATGCGGTCTAGCCCATCACAGGTCGGGCCCCAAATGCTGCATGGGTACATGCGCTCATCAGGCTTGGGTTTCTGCAAGAGATTATGGGTTACAGGTTGGTTTTAGGGAAGAAACACCATCGAACACAAACAGGAATCTGATGGACTCATTTCCGTACCTTGTGCAGAGTTGGCAAGACATGCGCATGGTCATACAGAATGCAGTTGAAGGAACCATAAACACCATCGTTCACGTAGTACATCAGGGTTCTGTCATTGGCCCCATCCTCTTCTTCTGAAAAAATTAAAAATGCTTTGATTTAACTGAATTTCTTAAATTTAATTTTTTTTTATGTAATGCTTTACACGCTACAGATTGCTTCAAAGCAGAACCCCAGTTATAAACGGGACAGGATTATTCATTGCAGTGAAATTGATAATATTACTGAATATTAGTGTAGTTACTGAATATAGTCCTTTATTATAAAATGATTGTTCTCAGACTTTAAGAGCACATTAGAAACAGACATGGTTTTGAATGTTTGCTTTTACCATCTGAGGCTGATTGCTCCTTCATGATGACCTTTTTGGCAATGATGTTGACAGCCAGCGTGTACGCAGACGCTACATAATAGCGGCCAGGTTCAGCAATGATCCTCACGCCGCAGTCAACAGGGAAATATTTATCCAGTGCAGGGTTAATCACAGCAGCGATCTGCCAACCCCAAAAAACCCCACAAGTTAAGTTTGGTATAACCTAAACATCTTTGGTGACTTGAAGTTAAGATGGTGATTAAGAATATACCTCTTCAAATTTCAGTTTGGTGTCATCGGAGCCTGGAAAGCCTCCTCCAATATCAAGCAGGGTCATGTCATATCCCAGTTCTGCCTGGTGGACAACATCATTTTCAGACTAAGTATATATTCTATTGCATAAATGTGTAGTTTGAATTTTTATAGCATAAGACCACTTACCCCCATGTCAAAAACATAGCGCGCATCTGAGATCGCCTGGCGGTACGTCTCAGGATCAGTGCAACCACTGCCCACATGAAAACTGACTCCAATCACGTCCAGCCCGAGCTCCTTCGCCCTCTCCAGCAACAGCCGACTGCTCTTTAACGTGGCACCAAACTTCACACTTAACCTGCACACCGCCTTCGAGTCGTCGGTGGCGATACGGAGAACCAGTCTGCAGAAACAGAAAATGTTTAAATGTCAGGAAAATCTTGCAACATGCACAAAATCATTTGTTTTATTACAATTTTTAGTGGTCACCAAAATATATCATTGTCAGCCAATAAAATGTTTTATTTGGCAAGTATCAGGAGCAGAAAAATGCTTAACGGTCACAAATCTTGCCACAATGTTTTTTTTTTTTTACTTTGAAGTGGTCAAACCAAGTCAGCTTATATTTGCCATTTTTACTGACATAATAGGTTTACAGAAAGTTTATCTAAAGTAAGTGTTTATTTCACAGATTCAACCAAGTAAACTTTTTTTAACTGATACACTTCCAAATGTTTTATTCCGTTGCTAATTTATATGGTCTGATATCAAATATAATCCATTTTATATCGGTCATCGGCCACCCAGTTATCAATCATCCAAAAAAAACACCCATACTGGTTGATCACTATTTTGTGGTGAAATGTGACCCGTTTTCTAGTAAAATTACTCACTTGGAATTCTCATGGCTTCGTGCCACCTTCATGAGCTCCACTTCACTGTCAAACGTCATCATCTGCACTCCATGAGCAGAGGCGTATTTGATCTGAGACACCTGCTTGCAGGGGTTGGCGTAGATGATCCTGCTCGGCTCCACACCCACAGACTGCACGATCTGGATCTCAGTCTAGCAGAAGAGACGAGGATTAGAAGTTGGGTTAATACAGGATTAACGTGGCTACATTCTTGCCGTTTGGTGCTGACGTCATGCACTCATTGAGACGTCACATTCGTGACTTAAGGAACTTATAAGATCTTTCACATACCTTGCTCGCACAGTCGAATCCGGCTCCCAGAGACGCCAGTGTCGTGACGACAGCCCTGCTGTCATTGCACTTCACTGCATAGAACGGTGTGATACGGGGTAAAACGCGCAACCAACGGAGGTGCTTCTTCAGGACGTCACCCAGGTCGGCCACATAGAAGGCATCTTTGTCATCCTAAAAGAGATGGGATCAGAATGGTGGATGGCATAGGCAGAGTAGGGCTGTGCAATATATCGAAATATCACAAATGTACATAATCGCTACGGCTTGCAATATTTGGGGCCTTGAACAAGAGAGAAAATCACTCACTGCTCTTACCTAAATAACTTTAGTAGCTTAAATAAGAATCAGTGCATATCGAATTCATAGAGTAAATACTAAGCAGTGTTGTATTTTTCCTTTTTATTATTCAGTTCCTAAACTCATGTTAAAATTACATTTTTATGTAATGCTTGAGTAAAACACTACCGTTCACTTTCAGAAGTTGTTGTAGGGCTGCTTTCTTCTCACAAAAAGTGAAAGATGTATGCTAGTTATATTAGAATCAGAATGAGCTTTATTCACCACTTAAGTGTGCGCAAACACAAGGAATGTGTTGTGGTTTTACAGGAGCTCTTGATGCATACAAATAACCATATGACAAGATAGTTATACAAGTTCACAGAACTGACGCCGCAACAGCATCATCTGAGCATGGGGCACTTTAAGCATTATCGTATCGCATTTTGAATTATTTAATGAGTTCTCGCATTCCTCTTCAATATCGCACAGCCCTAATGCAGAGCCATTTAAAGTTTACATGAATAAAAAAAAAAAAAAGCAACAATTAAACAGACATGTAGGTATAATACAACAGGTTCACTTACTGATAGTGATGACTCGTTGATCTTCTGCTCCACGATATCACGTGCACAGAACCCCTCCTCCAGGAAGGCGAAGTCAAAGTCTGATCCAGTCAAAGAGGTCATGGTGTTTGTTCAAAATTTGATTGCAAAAGAAACTGTTAAAGAAAATGACAGGGGTGTTATAAAACGTGACCGCCAAGATAACAGACTCCACTCAGTGGCCGTCTGTCAGTGTACGTAAAGTAGTAGCTTATTGTGACCCTGCCTGTGAAATCCAAAGTCTAATTATGAGAACGTGTCAAAGTTGGATTTCAACCATTAATTTCACTATGACTTCAATCTTTGACATGGCCCTAGTCAATATTAAAGATATAAAGGTTATATTTTCACAGAATGTTCTACATCTTTATGAAGGATGATTTTATGTAGAAAACAGTAAATCACACACACACAAAAAAAAAAAAAAAAAAAAAACTTTAGCCGAGTTTTCACCGCTTTAGAGACTACAAAGGCAACTCACTGACAGCTATAATGGAGATACGATTATAGTTATTAAATGCATTACATTTGACATTTTCTGATGCCATTTTACTTTGTTTTAAGTTAATATTTTTGCATTTTTTATAATTTGTGTTAGTTTCAAATATATTTACAGATCCGTACTTTTTATTTTGGTTTTAATTATTTTAGCATAAGTGAAATCAACTAACTTGGCAAGTAGAATTCATTATAAACTTTTAACAATTTTACTAACGGTAAAGTGTTTTTAGTTTTAATTAACTATAATAACGGACACAACTTTAAGCAAAGCACTCGTATCACACCCACTGCTCTCATTTTACTCCGTCATCAGGGTTTCACAGCGACAGACCAATTTTTTTACATTTATCACTGACAAAGAGTGACGTAAACATTACTAAAACTATTCCAACTCAATGTCTACAATACAACACTTGCACAAATGTCTGTAGAATTATTATACCTCTCACTGGTGAAACTGGAACATAAAAAGGTACAAAATCACACAGATCTGTAAGGGGTTTGAGTTTTCCATGCACACTTTACTGGATGCTCTCGAAGGCAGAAGGACTCACCAGATGAATGGAAGAGATGGGAGTATAATGTGGCTAACAGATGTCGGACAGCCAAGGAGGTTCACCAGTGAAGTTGAATCCTTTCAGATAAGCCTCAAGGCCAGGGCCAGTGTGCACGTCTCCCAAGCAAGAATCCTGCAAAGATTCACACATTACATCGAACCATGAAGAGCAGGCAACACCCCAGTCCAAACTAACGTTAGGTTCTTTCGTTAAATTCACATAGCGTGTAAAACTCTACACACAATTTGTTTGTCGTAACAGTCCATTTCGTGTAAAATTAGGAAATTGTTTCCCAATGAAGCTGGCAACCGCACACACATTTTTGGACACTTATAATGCAGAGCAATTTCGCAAAGCCGGTGAATTTAGTCCCTCCCCTGCGAAGAGCGCGACTACATCAGTTACCCAATAAGGACAACCCCTGTTAAATGACAGGCATTCCGGTCAGCCAATCACTGATCAAATCCAGCCGGCGTCTGCTTTCGGCTCAGCCAATAGAATGCGCTCATTCGGGCTAGCGAGGCTATGCAGCGTGAGGCTTCATTCATTGAACTTGAGCTTGAAAATAACCATTAGCATTAACCAAAGGATCTAGTAAACATGTTCGCAACGCCACGTTTGCTCCAACGATAAAGATTTTTGATAAAAGTCGAAGTTAAATCCGCGCAGGAAAGTGTTGACTCCGAGGCCATAGTGTCATAACACGCGACACAACTAAACGAGCCAAACGCGTCGAAAAACATTTCAGCGAATTGACTAACGTTAGAGGCTGATCGGTTAGTTTCTTTATTTGTGATTAGGCTGTACCATACGGAAAGTTTATCCTAACATAACGGATATAAGACACTTTACGTTAATGCCGCTGAATAATATCGTATAACTCACCTTAAAACGCATTTACAAAGAGTTTTCCCATTAGCCCAGAGTGCTGGAAATGAATATCGCCGGCGTCGTCCCGCTGTGGTGATCTACCGGAGGAGTGAACCCGGCACGAGAGCGCAGCTCTATATATAGTGCGGAGGTTGCCATGGTGACGCGCCAGCTGAAACCGGCTTGCTCTGCGCGAGCGAACCAGTTTGTTCTTGCTAGCGGCTTCGCGCGTGAGCGTTTGAAGGAGTGAAGGAAGGACATATTTCCCGCGTCTGACTGAACCAAAGTTACATTCTCAACTGGTATAAGATTAATAATAATTATTATTATGCTAAAACCTGTTAATGAAACAGAGCCCTTTACTTTAAGCCTTTGTACCGTGTAAAACATAACAGCTGAACTATTCCTGATTTCTTGTGGTTTCCTGAACATCTATAAACCATCAACTAAACTGTTAGCTCTAATTAGAAAGTTAAATATTTGTCGAGGAGTTTGAATTTACACACTCACACTCACACACACACACACTCACACACACACACACA